CTGAGCAGATTTGTGGGTGTCAACACAGTATAAATATAGGTATGTACACCTCCAAAACAAATATTGCTGAAATCAGGAAACTAAAGCATCTCTCCATATACTGTACACAAAAGCTAAATGGTAACATTTTAACAGCAGAAATTTACACGGCAAAGACATATGAATAAACGTCTTTGTTAAATTAATTTTATGTCTCCTTCCAGGCAAGGCTAACTATAATGTCTTTGTTTATTTTATATTTGCATTCTGCAGTGGTGGGTAAGATAAGATAAGACCATATTGATATCTTGTCTCCTGTCACAGTTTCTGTTGTCAAGTGATGAAGTTACATAATTCAATGAACTAGAAGCATGATTCAATTATTACTCATTTAGACAATTCAGTCACAGTATTAGCAGTTGAAGTGGATTTTGCTGACAAATGACTCTGAAGCTGTAAAATCAGACCCAGACCAAAATGTGCACATGATTCTATTTTATTACAATATGCATAATACATATAATACATATTATATCTAGTACATATATATTACACTCATGATGGTATCTTGTTTGCATAATTTATAGTTCAAAAAAGTTAGTTCATGTTATTTTTTTATCATCCTAAATTGCTCTGTCTTTATTTTTTATGTATTTTGTATATATTATACCGTGAAAGGTTATGGTGAGGTGTATCAAAACAAACTAAAGAAACTCTCCACTAAACCATTGTGAAGCACAGTTGAGTCTTCTTAAAACAGAAGGTAGCTAAATTTCTAACTTTCGTAGCAAATGCTAAAAATATATTTAGAATAGTAGGTAGAGTTATTCAAATCATTTCTATCTGCCCTTTGGCTAAGGGTACATCTAAAACTGCTGGTTAATAGCACTGATACATTCTAATATTGTAGGGTCATTTAATTCAAACTGCATACAGCTGTTTTAGGCTTGTTGGCTATCATCGGCACAGTGCACAGAAATGATTAGGAAGATTTACTACAACTGGTGCACACAGAATCTGGTGCAGCTGTACATACAACCAATCAGCTTCTAGGTTTTATTGGCAAAGCTTCATTGAACAAACTGACGTTAGAAGCTGACTGTACCTATGCAAAGCTGCACCAGATTCTGTGTGCATCAGTTTTAGTAAATCTCCCCCAATAGTGCCTATAGAGTATAGCTTACAACAAGAATATTTGGGATATATATTGTAAAATAGATATGTATTAGTTAAATGTTGTACTAATATACTACTGATTACTAAACAGAATTCTTCTGCTTCTTCTTCTTCTTATTATTATTATTATACCAGATTTGTTTAGTGCCAACAGTTTCTGCAGCTATTTAGAATATAAAGGGAGATGGTACAGATACAATACAATTCAAGATAAGAAGGTTAGGAGGGCTCTGCAATCTGTAAACCTACAATCTAACAGGGAGTAACAAGTGGCATAAAGGTAGTAAATGGGAGGGCTGAGCTGAGGGGGAAAGTAACATTTAACTTTTCAGGTGGAGACAGGATAGCTCTCCTGGAGATATGGGTTTTCAGGGATCAGTATAAGGTGAACAGAGTAGGAGATAGCCACACAGATTGGAATAGGGCATGCTAGAGGATGGGAGAAACGGAGGGACAGCCATACTGATATATCAGTTAGTAGGTTAGTAATGCAAGAGGAGACTGAAGGGGTGAGGTGAGTAGTAGGGAGATACATTATATTGCCAAAAGTATTGGGACACCCCACCAAATCATTGGATTCAGGTGTTCCAATCATCTCCATGGCCACATGGTGAATAAAATCAAGCACCTAGGCATGCAGACTGCTTCTACAAATATTTGTGAAAGAATGGGTTGCTCTGAGGAGCTCAGTGATTTCAAGCGTGGTTCTGTGATAGATTGCCACCTGTGCAATAAATCCATCTGTGAAATTTCCTTGCTACAAAAAACTCAGATGGATGTGTCTGGGTAAGGCGGTTGCTAGGAGAACAGTACTTGCCTGACTGCATTGTGCCAAGTGTAAAGTTTGGTGGAGGGGGGATTATCGTGTGGGGTTGTTTTTCAGGTGTTGGGCTTGGCCCCTTAGTTTCAGTGAAGGGAAATCTTAAAGTGCCAGCCTGCCAAGACATTTTGGACAATTTCATGCTCCCAACTTTGTGAGAACAGTTTGGGGATGGCCCCTTTCTGTTCCAACATGACTGCGCACCAGTGCACAAAGCAAGGTCCATAAAGACATGAATGAGCGAGTTTGGGGTGGAGGAACTTTACTGCCTGCACCTAGTTGGCCTTGACTGGCCTGAGTCCTGACCTCAACCCAATAGAACACCTTTGGGATGAATTTGAGTGGAGACTGTGAGCCAGACCTTCTCGTCTGACATCAGTGTCTGACCTAACAAATGTGCTTCTGGAAGAATGGTCAAACATTCCCATAGACACACTCCTAAACCTTGTGGACAGCCTTCCCAGAAGAGTTGAAGCTGTTATAGCTGAAAAGAGTGGGCCAACTCAATATTGAACCCTATGGACTAAGACTAGGATGCCATTAAAGTTCATGTGCGTGTAAAAGCAGGCGTCCCAATACTTTGGGCAATACAGTGTAGATTTGGGTGTCATCAGCATAGAGATAATATTGGAAGCCACGGGAGCTTATTAAGTGACCAAGGGAGGAGATGTAGATAGAGAATAGAAAGGTTTTTAAGACAGAATCTTTGAGAACCCCTACAGAAAGTGGGGAGGAGATAACAGAGTTGTAGGTTAGGGAACACTTCAATAGGTAAGAGTAGAACCAGGAAAGAGAAGAGTCTTGGAGGTCAAGGTAGTGGAGTTTTTTTGAGGGAGAGCAAGGGGTTAACTGTATCAAAGACAGCAGAAAGTTCTAATAGTAGAAGTATGGAGTAATGGACATTGGTTCTACCAGTTAGGAAGTCATTAGTGAGGTTTATTAGTGTAGTTTCTGTGAGTGTTGCAAGTGAGTATTGCAAGTGAATGCCAGATGTAACTAGAATTTCTGAAGGTTTAGAAGTAAATGAGAGTGTCAGGAAGGTCATATTAACAGAAGAGTCTGTAATTCTGGACGGACTTCTGTGCACAGGCTAATACATGTTCCCTCTCGTGCTTGCAGAAATTGGGCACATACTGATGTGCATGCGCATATGCACATGCACATTGGTGCTCATACCCATGCAAATATTCATTCGTGCAGGCGCACACGTGCACTTGTGACAGATGCTGGCGCCAAACAGCCTATTTAAACTGGGCTAATGCTCTGGATCAGTGCTGCTTTGTCTTCATCCTCCTGTGCATCCTGTGCTCATCTGATCTTGTATCCTGGTTTCCATTGCTGACCCGGATTGTCCTTACTACCCCCTGCATTGACCTTGGCTTGTCCTCTGACCTTCGCTTCTGTCTCTTCCATTGGCTTCTGTTCCGCTGAACAGCTTCTAGTCCTGGCTTGTACCTAGACCATACTTTTGCCTGTGCCCTGTACCTGATCTGTCCTCACAGTATGACTTGGTCTGTCTGACTGGGCTACTTGCCTGCCACCACTGGTACCTGCCTACTCTGCTGATCCTGCCAATCTACTGTCTGCTACCAGCCACTGTCTCATCTGCCCACTGTTGTTCAGGCTAGTTGGGTCTAGCAAGCGCTTTAAAAGTATGGGGGTGATCTGTGCATGCTTTAGATGGTGGGGGGAGGTGCCAGTAGCTAGTTACAGACTAAAGATGTGAGTTAGAGAACATAGAATAGAGAAAGATGGTGACTGTAGTGGTTGTGAGGGAACGGGTTCTAGGGGACAGCTGGTTAGGTGGGCGAGAGAAGAATGGTAACCCCCTCTGTAACAGCAGGGTCAAAAGAGCAGAGTATTGAATGCGGTGGTAGACAGGGAATGTTAAGTGGGGAACATTTCTGTACAGTGGAAATGCCTCCATGAATTGCATCAATCTTGTTTTTGAAATATTTGGCAATCCCCTGTGCCGTAAGTGAGTTAGTGGGTAGAGGTGGTGGATAACAAAGCTAGAGAGTTAAAGGTACAATAGAACTGATGATAATGAGAGTGATGAAATATGTTTGTGTGGCAACATGGAGGCAGGAATTGTATTACTGGGTGAAAGGATCTAGATAACTTCCATTTTGTTTAATGTACTCCATTTTAAGTATTAAGTCAGCTTTTTGCAGATATATTAGAAGCTTAATGAAACTGTTTTAGTTGTTCAAGGATGTATCAACAGAAGCTAACATGACCCTGACAATGTCTTTGTCTGGTTGTTTCTCAGAAAGTTAGCCAAAACAATTTGTACCAAGAAATGTATATGTTATGTTTCATGTAGTTAGCTCATGATGGAAATTTACAAGTTACAGTTTTGAAACTCACTCCCCCCTCCCTTATTTTATCTGTAGTCTATATAATCTTACTAATGCCTAATAAACTTTGAACATCTCTGAACATAAGCTGCCGTTATTTCCTTGTTCAAGGGGTGTTCCCAGAATTCTGCTGATAAACCAGGAATCTCTCCACAGACCGGGGGTCTCTGAGGGGATAAGAAAATCATCCTTTCACTGGGGAGGATTTGTTTAGGGTGAAGTCTTGTGAGAATTTGTTTTTACCACACAGTGGCTTGAAAGCACAGCTCTGTCTCTTCAGATATCCGATGTTGCTAGTTTGATAAGGTTGTAATGATTTTGGCCCAATTCTGTGTTCAATGAGGGGAGCAATAGCATTCAGTGAGGGTGAGGGTGAGCTGTTGTACACAGGAGTGGCCAGGTCAGGGCATTACAGGGGGTAAGATTTTGTCATAGATGTGCTAAGTAGAAAAACAGAGAAGAGAAAGTTTTAAGCAGTAAAGATTTCTCTAGGTAATCATTTGCTTCTTGGAGTGGAAGGCACTTTGAGACAGAGACACCAAGAAACTGGTAAGGATGCGATCAGTGAAAGGTAAGGGGTATTAAAGAGGTGGCAAGGAGTGAAGAGCTGGAAGAATACAAGGTCTCAGTTGTTACCATCAGAGCAGGGTCGGACTGACAACTCATGGGGCCCCCAGGCAATAGGGGATTATGGGACCCCTGTGTCCTTGCCCAAACTCAAAAAAGCCTATGAAAAAGGTACCAGGGGCATCTCATGGGGCCCCCTACTGACCCCGGGCCCTCGGGCAGTGCCCGAGTTTTCAAATGGTCAGTCTGCCCCTGCATCAGAGTGATTAGGAGTGAGTGTCCATTGTGTTAGTTGAGAAGTTAAAATGCAGCCAATTTGTTAAATTTAACAAGGATGTTAAAGTCATCAAGAAAGACAGTAGGTATTTCAGAGCAGAGAAAGTAAGGCAACCAGACAGAGGGAGAGAGTCATCAAGGAAGCAGGACATGGGTCCAGGAGGCTGATATAGTACAGCAATCCTCAGAACAAAAGGAGAAAACAGGTGAATACGGTGAATCTCAAAAGAGGAGAGAGAATTGGAGGGAAGTGTAGGAAGGACTTGAAAAGTACTCAGTGGGGATAGAAGGAATCCAACTCCACCTCATTTTCTTCCCCTGGGTCTGAGTGAGTGTATCCAGTGGTAACCACCATCAATGATGACAACTGAAGAAGCAAAGTTAGATTCTCTAAATCAAGTTTCAGTGACAGCAAGCAGGGTAAAGAAACTGGGGGAAATTGGGGGAAAAAAAGGCATAGAGTGAGAATTCCAGAGGATAGAAGGGGGATTGGTTGATGAACACTTGTTAATTGGGAGGAATAACTTAAGATTTTGCTCTTATATTGGCTATACACACATCAATTTCATCATTTTTTTCTCGATCTGACCAGTTTGTTTGGATGTATCTGAATATCTTTTATTAATCAACTTTTTTACATTCTACAACATTGAATCAAAAAACGTTTCAGTGTTTCCCATTTTGACCTACATGTAATTGATATAAAGTGACTGGAAAACACCCAGACTTGGTTTGATTTTTTCACAGATTCAATTAGAATTTCAGAACGGCTGATGCTTGCCTTAAACTGAGTGTGAACATCAATAATGCACAAGCTAACATTTCAGTATAACAGTGTCGGGAGCACAGCACTTTGTATCATGACTTGTAACCTGGAATAATTCCAACTGGTTTTTACACTGAGATGCTGTATCAATAATCTACATGTTGTGGTTTTCAAATCAGAAATTTGTTGGCATTAAAAGCTCTCCTGTGATGTTAGCCAATACAAATTATGATGTTGTAGCAGATTTCTCCAAGACACATATTTAAATAGCTGAAGCACTTTGCGCCTTCCAATGTTTGCTCAATACACATACAGGTATTAGAACTCATACAAAAAAGAAATGAATTCAGCACCACCAGTATAAATCTTCTTTTGAACACAAACAGAAGTACCTGTATATGCTTTTACACATTTCACACTACAGTATATGCAGCACTTTATTAAAGTATGAAATGTGTAAGCACTTGTATTCCTGTTGCCATACGTAGCAGAAGTTTTTGGCAGTGCAATATTCTTCTCTTTTTTTGTTTTGTTTCGTAGGTGGAGCAAGTTGGACCAGCATCAGTTTGTAACAGAAGAGAATCAGGATTACACCTAGAGCTGTATATTCTTCATATGCTTATGTCTTGTTTGAGGTTTGCAAGTGTACAATCCAAACGCACACGTTCCTGCGTTAAAAATGGCTGTGTGTATAAGTGGGTGCTGCCGCGACCGTCAGCTGGAACCGAACAAAATCAGCAAGGGAAAATGTCACCAGCACACCGAGGATCACCAATATGGGTCCAAAGGTTTTAATGAACGGTCACATAGTTACAGCAAGGCAACGTTTGGAGTCTCGCAGGACCCCTTCATCAGGCATGTGACCACAAAGGTTGCCTGATGAAGGGGTCCTGCGAGACTCTGAAACGTTGCCTTGCTGTAACTATGTGATCGTTCATTAAAACCTTTGGACCCATATTGGTGATCCTCGGTGTGCTGGTGACATTTTCCCTTGTTTGAGGTTTGAACGCACAGAACTGGTGGTCAGACAAAGGCATCCTTCACCCAGTTAATACTGCATTTTTGACAAGATCTGCTATCCCCATCAATCTACACACTGTAAATAGGCATCTGTAGTTCACTGTGAGAAATCTGCATTCTTTGATTTTCACTTTAAAAATCATTGGCATTGCATACTCTCATGTGACTCTAGCTAATGTAACTTATGATGCTGTTACATGGAAGTGAAGCAGATGCTAAACCACTTGTCTACCAAGGTATGTTTATAAACAGCATCATAGACAAGAGGTTAAATCAAGTGCAGGTGCAGCGCTTTCTGATAATAGTGGCTTTAGAACCTCCTGATCACTTTTATGGGGCTAACACACACTCCTTCTCCTCCCCCGAAGATGGCATTGGTGGTTCCTGGGCTGTTCAGTCCCTCGGGGGTGCCCAGGACAATGGGAAACAACTTCTCCAGTGAGTGCAGGTGGAACTCGGGGAACATTCATTCCCTGATCCCTCCTGTGGTGCGTATCACTTCTGGGATCACAACTGTCATTCCTCAGCTGGCACAGCATAGGATGCAGCTATTCCAGCATGACCTGTGCTGGAATAGCTTAATTTGAGGGTAGGGGAGACATAGTCTAATAGACCCCCAATGTGTCCATAAAGAGAACCTGTCACCTGCCCATGCCATCACATAGGGGTCTTATTAGCTCCCTTGTCATAGCAATAAAGTAAAAAAAAAATGTAAAAAATAAAGATATAAAATAAATAAAAATAATTTTATAAATAATTATAATGACTAAAACAATTTTTTAAAGTACCTGTCACCAACTGCACACATCCCATAAAACGTGCAGCATAGGGCAAGCACATGTATCAATTGCACCACACATTATTTCGAATGTGGGAGTGAGACCAATAATTCTAGTACCATAATTCATGCTTAACTGTAAACTGATAGCTGGTAAAAGATTTTAAAACGTTGCTCACGGAGAATTTGAGGTACCAATGTTTTTTGCGATTTCATGTGTAAACGCAATTTTATGGCTTTTGTATTTATTTACTTGAAGCAAACCCCATCTTCTATATTTTATAAAAAAATTTATTTTATTGTGTTTGCATTTATATCATCATACAAAAATTGCAACTACCACTATTTCATTCTCCAGGGCATCTGTTTTCAGAATATATATCATTTTGGGGGGTTTACAATATTATCTAGCAAACAATGCAGATTTTAACATGTATGAAAAAAAACAATTTCCCAAGTAGACAAGCGGTTAAATAGCCAACAGCCCAGTCTGCACCTAATTATTTTTTTTAGTGGTGGTGATGGTGGGTAGGGGAATAAAACAAAATGTTCCCCTCCATGCCCAAAAACATTTTAAAATAAGTTTTGAAATACATGTTCATTAACTATTGAAGATAAAACATATAGAGTGATTTGGATATTAAATTAAAGCTCCTTTTTTTTTGCTTGGTCAAATGCCTAATATTAAAGTTATAATTACCTTTCTAAATAAAATCAGAACTCATAAAGTAAATTTAATTAATCTCACAACATCCCAATAGCACGTAGTGCTATCACAAAAGTAATACTAATTATCCATAAATAATTATTTGCTGAATGCTACCTTAAGAGCATTTTAATTCTGCAAGACGTCAGTTATAAGTACTAAACTTAAAAAAACTCACCTCTTGTAAACCTCAGCACAGGCATTCTGTTCTCTACTGTTGATCACGCTGATATCATTATAAATGTGACATTCTCAAGGAAGTTTCCTAGCTGGTAAGTACAGTAGCAAATGGGTTGGGCTTAATTTGAATAATATTCTCTATTGCTATAGCTTCTGATAGATATTGAACAGAATCTCTGTATGATATGATGTCATCTTTTACCTCATCATGTTACCACTTGGTAGTAAGGTATAAAAGTGGCCACTTGACATACCACTGTAGCTCTTGACAGTAGCTGTAACAACCTGTACACATCTAAAGGTCAGTCTATTCATTTTTTATAATTTTGGTTTTTTTTACAAATACGGTTTTATAATTTTTTTTTTTTTTTTTTTTACAAATACTGCTTAATACTATTGTATCTTTTATTTGTCTGCTTATTATTTGTTCATGTCATACTATAAGTTTTATGATATTTATATATTCCTTGTTATCTTTATTACATTTTAATATAAATCAGAATAGGGATTGCTCTGTTTTCAGCAGTTCTGGTGATATTAAAACGTACTACTTACCTTTTTCATCAAAAATTTACTTAAAGCGATATTAAATCTAAAACCAAAAATTTAATATATTGCAGCCTACTAATCATTAGATGTGGTGGCTGCATTTGTTTTCTTTTTTTTTAGGTGTCTTGTCCCCTTTGTTTTCACCTGGTGACCTGACCATTAGCACACCTCCTGTATTAGAGTACCCCACCCTAGATGAAGTAGTAGCAGAGACCTACAGCATTGTCAGTCTGGGGGTAGGGGGTTGTTAGAAGTGCTAGCACTAGATTTAGATACACATTTATTATACAGCAGCTTACCAATTCCTTGTATTGTCTCCCTTTATATTGTAAAGCGCTGAGCAAACTGTTGTCGCTATATAAATCCTGTATAATAAGAAGAATTTTTAGATGTGATAGTGGCATTCATTTTCTTTTTTTAAGACTTTCTTTGCTTTATTTTCACCTGGTGATCCTGCCAGTAAGTCTGCAGAACAAACTGTCCTGCAGATGAAGCAGTTAAAGGATTAAGACAAACCATTTACCACTGACAGGGGTGCTTACAGTGGTCAGTTTTTATTTACTTATGTAAAACTTTTATTCCAAAAGGGACTGTTGCTGTAACTGTTTATAAAGTATTAGCTGGAGTTTGGCTTCAATTTGTTAGTACATCTACATCTGCTAGTACATCTAACACTCCAGAAGGTGTCTCTATTGCTACTTTATCCAGAGTGTAGGCATTCTAATACAAGCAGTGTGTTACTGGCCAGATCACCAAGCAAAATCAATGAGAAAAAAAAGAGAAAACTAATGCAGCCACCACACCCAATGATTAGTTAGCTGCAATATATTACATTTTTGGTTTTGGATTTAATACTGCTTTAACTTAATACCTACACCTTAACTGTATCCTACCCT